TTTATTTCCCCTGCGATTCTCTCTCTCTCTCTCTCTCTCTCTCTCTCTCTTCTGTGTGTGTGTGTGTGTGTGGGGGTGTGTGTCTGTGTGGGGAGGGGAGGGCTGTTGTCTGTGTTTATGTGTGTGTGTGTGTGTGTGTGTGTGTGTGTGTGTGTGTGGCTGGCTGCGATTTTTCCTACAAGTCCTTGTCTCTAAGTCCTTGTCTTTTTTGCATAACAATTTTGCATAACAATATTTTTAAATGACAAAATAGGCATATAACCCCCATCTTTTAAATGTATAGTTTGCTTTAAATAAAAGTAAGATTGTATTTGTAATTGAAGTTGAATGAATTTAAAATTCATGTGCTATATTTCAATATATTTGTTTTCCTTAAGATTTAAAACACTAACTTCATTCTTATCTGAATTACATATATTTGTTTCTGTATAAAATAATACTCTGACTAAAACACATTTGATGTTTTTTTTTTTTGGATTTTTATTTACATGTATTTATGTGTGTGTGGTGTGTGTGTGTGTGTGTGTGTGTGTGTGTGTGTGTGTGTGTGTGTGTGTGTGTGTGTGTGTGTGTAAAGTGCAGGGTTTTTTTAGATAAAGTAGAATTTCTATAACTATGTGTTGAACTAATAAATCACTCTTGTGTGTGTTAAACACAATCTACTTAATACAGACAACTTCATTATAAAGATAAATAACAAATCCAAAAAATATATGATTATAATCTATGACAAAAAAAGCCATTACAAACTATATTAATGGAAAATACACATTGCTCTTTGTATTGTTGTAAAATATTCATGAAAAACAAGATAACAAAAATCAAAAAGATAAATTATTTTAGATATAGCCATGTTTTAAATGTATAGCAGAGATGTTAATTGAGGCAGCAACATACAAACTTTCTAGAACAACATGGACCTGAATAGCTGGTTTTTATGGAGGACAGTGAAGAGGAAGAGGGTGCAAATCAAACAGCTCATTCTCCGACTACACAGCAAACAGCTTAAGTTTTTAGTGCTTTGTTTGAGGTTTTTAGTGCTCTGTCCTATCTATTATCAACATATAATAGATAGAACAGAACAAGAAAGGCAATTAATAATCTGTCATTGCGTCACTGCATTATGATATGAAAGGCTCAGTACAGTGTGGCACAAAACGCTTATGCGCATCCCGAGTGGAGAATGATGCGCTTAAAGCCACATGGAGTTACAGCGCACAGCGCATCGAGTCCGCATTGATGCAAGCTCTACAATACACTTCTTTTTGATAGTCAAAGCGGGGGTTACGTTTTTACACGTCGTACAGAATAACCCTAAAGGCACCAAGGTGGCGGTGCCACCGGCTTTATATTAAATATAAATATAGATGTGAGCAGCGATAAAGCGCCAAAGCCGGCGGTACCACCATCCCGGTGCCTTTGGGTAACTAAAGGCATCGGGGTTACGGTGCCACCGGCTTGGGCCCGCAATCGCTGCTCGCAGCTATATTTATATGTTGCATTTGCTACAGATATGAGGTGTGTGTACTGTATGGGACGTCCCTATAAGAACTGACAGTTAGTTTTTTTCTACTTATTAGAAATGAGGTATTTATAGGCCTCTGAAGGCAAATAATGGGACATTTCTCCAAAATGTTACAGTAAAATTATTTGATATGAGGTGTGTAAACTGTACTTATTAGAAATGAGTTATTTGTGGGCTTCTGAAGTCAAATAATGCGACAATTCTCCAAAATGCTGCAGTAAAATAGTTTGATATGAGGTTTGTGTACTGTATGGGACGTCCCATATAAGAACTGACAGTTAGTTCGTTTTTTCTACTTATTAGAAATGAGGAATTTATCAGCCTCTGAAGTAAAATAATGTAACATTACTCCAAAATGCTACAGTAAAATGGTTTTATACGAGGTGCGTGTACTGTATGGGACGTCCCGTATAAGAACTGATCGTTATTTTTTTCTACTTATTGAAAATGAGGTATTTATGGGCCTCTGAAGTTGAATAATGGGACATTTCTCCAAAATGCTACAGTAAAATGGTTTGATATGAGATGTGTAAACTGTATGGGACGTCCCCTACAGGAACTGACAGTTATTTTTTACTACTTATTAGAAATGAGGTATTTATGGGCCTCTAATGTCGAATAATGTGACATTTCTCCAAAATGCTACAGTAAAATTATTTGATATGAGGTGTGTGTACTGCGTGGGACGTCCCGTATAAGAACTGACCGTTCGTTTTTCCTACTTATTAGAAATGAGGTATTTATGGCCCTCTGAAGTCGAATAATGGAACATTTCTCCAAAATGCTACAGTAAAATTGTTTGATATGAGGTGTGTGTACTGTATGGGACGTTGCCTACAAGAAGTGATCGTTGTTTTTTTCTACTTATTAGAAATGAGGAATTTATCAGCCTCTGAAGTCAAATAATGTAACATTACTCCAAAATGCTACAGTAAAATGGTTTGATACGAGGTGCGTATACTGTATGGGACGTCCCCTACAGGAACTGACAGTTATTTTTTACTACTTATTAGAAATTAGGTATTTATGGGCCTCTAAAGTCGAATAATGTTACATTTCTCCAAAATGCTACAGTAAAATGGTTTGATATGAGGTGTGTCTACTGTGTGGGACGTCCCGTATAAGAACTGACCGTTCGTTTTTTCTACTTATTAGAAATGAGGTATTTATGGGCCTCTGAAGTCGAATAATGTGACATTTCTCCAAAATGCTGCAGTCAAATGGTTTGATATGAGGTTTGTGTACTGTGTGGGACATCCCGTATAAGAACTGACCATTATTTTTTTCTACTTATTAGAAATGAGGTATTTATGGCCCTCTGAAGTCGAATAAAGGGACATTTCTCCAAAATGCTACAGTAAAATGGATTGATATGAGGTGTGTGTACTGTATGGGACGTCCCGTGTAAGAACTGATCGTTCGTTTTTTCTACTTATTAGAAATGAGGTATTTATGGCCCTCTGAAGTTGAATAAGGGGACATTTCTCAAAAATGCTACAGTAAAATTGTTTGATATGAGGTGGGTGTACTGTATGGGACGTCCCGTATAAGAACTGACCATTAGTTTTTTCTACTTATTAGAAATGAGGTATTTATGGCCCTCTGAAGTAGAACAATGGGACATTTCTCCAAATTGCTACAGTAAAATTGTTTGATATGAGGTGCGTATACTGTATGGGACGTCCCGTGTAAGAACTGACCGTTCGTTTTTTCTACTTATTAGAAATGAGGTATTTATGGCCCTCTGAATTTGAATAAGGGGACATTTCTCCAAAATGCTACAATAAGATTGTTTGATATGAGGTGATACTGTATGGGACGTCACCTATAAGAATGGGCCATTAGTTTTTTTCTTATTACAATTTTTTTTTGTAACAGACAGACAGACAGACAGACAAACAGATAGATAGATAGAAAGAAAGAAAGATAAAGAAAGAAAGAGAAAAAGATAGATAGGAAGAAAGAAAGAAAGGTTATGAATATATAGATAGAAATAAAGAAAAAGATAGATAGATAGATAGATAGATAGATAAAGAAAGAAAGATAAAGAAGGAGAAAAAGAAAGAAAGAAAGAAAGAAAGAAAGAAAGAAAGAAAGAAAGAAATATCGATCTGGGCAACTCAAGCGCTCTGAAGCGCGTTCTTCCTCTGCTGTGACTGAAATTACCGTATTCATAGTAATAGGCGCACACGCTTATTTTTTTAGCGGCTGGCTTGACCGTGTATTTTCAAACTGCGGCTGGCTTGACCGCGGTGTATTAACAGCACATTTGTCTAATGTAAGTAGTGTTGACAACAGTGAATTATCCTTCATAATAGCACACATAACGTTACATCACTCAGATGTATTTTTCATGTTGGGATGTGCTCATCTGCAATACTTAAACAATATTTTCATTTCAGATGTAAATAGACATTTTAAATAAGCGTGTTTAAGATGTAACGTTATATGGTTATGTAAATCCATTTTAGAAACTTACGTGTAGCCTACTTACTGGAGCCCAGTAAACACAGAACGTTCCCCTAACGTTCCCATATGGTTCCCATTTGGTTATTTTTTTGGGAACCAAATACCCAGTTAACAATTTTTGGTTCCCAGAACGTTACTTTCAGGTTCCCAGAACGTTCTCAGAACGTTCTCAGAACAAACATTTCTAACGTTCCCTATTGGTTACCTAGGAAAGTTTTCTTTACGTTAATAGAACGTTCCCTTTAGGTTAGGGGAACGTTCCGGGAACGTTCCCTAAAGGTTCCCGGAACGTTCCCTAAAGGTTCCCAGAACGTTCTCCTAACCTCTACATCCCGATATGCCTGTACACAAATAAGTCTACAAAAAATATCTTCTATGTTGTTTATTTTTTCCAAAACATAAGAATCGTATGAAGATTACTACAATAAATGTAATGTATGCACAAAATTTTAATGCCACGAAAAGCCATGCACATATATTTTAAACAACATATTTATAAAAAAAAATTCAAAATTGCAGTTTGAAACCATGAAGATAAAGATTCTAAAACTAAAGAGATTAGCCTGTAATAATTTAATAAATGTAAATAGGACATATATGATCATATACTAATTAAATATCATGAGAAACTGACATTGTTTATTGTTCACATTGACCTGAATAGTAATATTATTTTTAAAAATTAAAACAATTGATTGTATGAATATAAAATCATTACAATAAATTGAATGTATGCAAAAAATGTATCTATATGAAGAGTTCAGATGCAAAAGCCTCTAAGTGCCATTTGAAATTTTGTTCTAGAATGACCATTTTTATCAAGCTTGTGTATTTAAGTTCAGTAATTTCACTTAAATGTCAATTTAATACGCAATCTTCATTGCCATTTAAGTGAAATTACTGAACTTAAATATACAAGCTTGATAAAAATGATCATTTTAGAAGAAAATTTCAAATGACACTTAGAGGCTTTTGCATCTGAACTCTTCATATACAAAAGCCGTGAACATGTATTTTTATAAACAACATGTATTACAAAATTAAATAAAAAATAATAAAAAATAATCATGAACATGAAAACATAAATTCTAAGACTTTAGGAGATTATAAAAATACAAGTTTATAAATGTGAATAAATGTGAATATCTCAAGACAATTATCAATGAGAAACTATATACACTTTTGTTTAGCACACATATTATACATAAATACATAAAAAGCCACAAAAAACGCAGGTATACACGCATGTGTGCGTGTGTGTGTGTGGTGTGCTTTTGTAAAAGTGTATTGTCTCAGTCCTTTGTGTCTCCTTCAGCAGGCATCCTGTTTTGGGATAGAAAAAGATCAAAGATTAGGACAGTGCAAACCATAGACTGTAAAAAAAAAAATATTTGGACGTAGTGTCCATGACGTCACCCCGTAGGTTTCTGAAAAGCATTTTCGAAGCCTAAAGTGGATGGGGCTTAATAATTAATTCTTATTCATTTGTAATATTATTATGTCATTAAACGTTTTACGTAAATATGCTATGAAAGCAAAAAATGTTGGCAAACAGCAATGCCGTTTACATCTTGCTTAAACAACTGTATATGACGAGTGATGCGTATCATTTATAAAAAAAACTATTGACAGTTTGTGAATAGATCACAATGTAGACTGAGGAATAATCCTCCGACCTCACTCATGTCGGTTTCGCAAATGTAAACAGACACATGGGGATCACACTTGGATGTTGGATCGTCTGAATATTACCTTTCTGCTCGTCTCCTCAGATCTCTTAACTTTTGTGCCATGCAGACCTTGATCTCAGTGCCTCCGATGCCTGGGTGCCTCTTTTTGACAGTCTGTAAGAAATGAGATTTATTACATTAAAATTTGAAAACAAGTTTGTCATGACGTGACATAACTGCCAGATTCAAACTGTGCTTTCCAAGCTATGGCTGTCGCTGACAGACACGCTCAGCGCTTGTCATATAATAACTATTGATAAAAGATATTCAGACATGCTTACCAATTATTAGCTGCACCTTTTGTAGGTCAAGACTCTATTTTCACCAACAACCCCTTTTTTCCCGTTCATGTTGCCATCTCTTTGAAGACAAGATGGAGTCTATAAGAGTTCTGGTTAACTCCAAACTTGTTCTGCAAAGCAAAAAATAAGATAGAAAATTTTCGTCAGGACAGAAACTGTGATCTTTTCAACGTTATTGCATATTAGATGAAGTTTTCACGTTGGAGCTGTGAGTGTAAATTTTAGCATACAAGTATTTATTGTTTGTGCTCGAGTCTTGTTACTCTTTTACCTTCATAGGTATTCCAGAGTTTAGGGGTAAAATGCGTTTGTGTAAACCATTGGAACAGTTTAAACCATTTTTCCCCTCCAGGATTCATTGTTAAATAGACCACAAACATATGAAGGGTAGTTTACACTAATGTTCAAACATTTGGGGTCAATGATAGATTTAAAAATTAATAGAACAAAAAAAGAAGAAATACATATTTTTACTCAGCAAGGATGCATTACATTAACAAATATATTCAAATAAATGCTGTTATTTAAACCTTTCTATTCATCAAATAATCCTGAACAACACAAAGCAGCACAACTGTTTTCAACACTGATAATAATCATAAATGTTTTTTATTTATTGAGCTTCCTCGGCTCACCTGTGTCCTAACGTAAACGTTACTTCTCCGACAGCAGCTTTCTTCAGAAATGTTGAAGTAACTTAGTGGAGCTTTCTCTCTGCTATGGGTTATTTCGTTACTACTGAAATCACAGAACATTTAATCAAAATGTGTTTAACGTTACCATTGAGCTAACGTTAGTTTCGGCCAATTGCTCCTAAAAGTCCTGAAACATCACCGATACGTTACGTTTACGTTTGTGTTAAATAAATTAGCTCACTTCCCAGTAAAACCCTTACAAAACCTCTCATTTACACATAAGAGGTGATTAAAAGAAACTTTAATAAATAAAAGTTCAACCGAGTTAACGTGGATGTTAGCCTTGCTAACGTTAACGTTACCTCTTTAGCCTTGCTAAGTTACCTCTAACGGACTTTTTCCGAAGACTACACCATGTCGATAAAGTACATTTTTAACAGAATCGTGTCAATTACAAGTAGAAGAAATGTCAAAAACAGTTGTGAGTATTATTCGTGTGCTTTTAGAGAGTAATCTCACCTGAAAAAAGCCGTGAAAAGTTGAAACAACAGCGAGACGAGAGGGAGTTTTGTTGTTTACCAGTAGCAGTGGTCCCGCGCCGTTTCCATGGCAACTCTGCGCGCCGGCCGCTCCAGTGTTTGAGAGACTCGAAAGTTCACGTGCACGGCATTGATGATAAACCACGTCAAAATCAAGCAGCACGTATATGTACATACAATAAAGATGTCCTGAAAGTGCTTTGTAAATAGAATATGAAAGCTGTAGCCTATTGATTATTTCAAATAACATTATTGTCGTTGAATATTCAACTAACCTGGACTTTCACAGAGAGCTTTATAGGTTATTAAATTAAACCTATAAATAACCTGCAGGGAACGTTCTGGGAAGGTTCTCTTTAGGTTACAAAATTAAACCTAAAAATAACCAGCAGGGAACGTTCCCGGAACGTTCTCTTTAGGTTATAAAATTAAACCTAAAAATAACCTGCAGGGAACGTTCTGGGAAGGTTCTCTTTAGGTTACAAAATTAAACCTAAAAATAACCTACAGGGAACGTTCCCGGAACGTTCTCTTTAGGTTATAAAAATTAAACCTAAAAATAACCTGCAGGGAACGTTCTGGGAAGGTTCTCTTTAGGTTACAAAATTAAACCTAAAAATAACCTGCAGGGAACGTTCCCGGAACGTTCTCTTTAGGTTATTAAAAAAAAAACCTACAGAGAACGTTCTTAGAACGTTCTTATTTGGTTCCCAAAAAAATAACCAAATGGGAACCATATGGGAACGTTATGGGAACGTTCTGTGTTTACTGGGTAAGAACGTTCTAAGAACCTAAAGAGCCTTTTATAACCTAAAGAGAACGTTCCGGGAACGTTCCCTGCAGGTTATTTTTAGGTTTATTTTGTAACCTGAAGAGAACCTTCCCAGAACGTTCCCTGCAGGTTATTTTTAGGTTTCATTTTTATAACCTAAAGAGAACGTTCCGGGAACGTTCCCTGCAGGTTATTTTTGGGTTTAATTTTATAACCTAAAGAGAACGTTCCGGGAACGTTCCCTGCAGGTTATTTTTAGGTTTAATTTTATAACCTAAAGAGAACGTTCCGGGAACGTTCCCTGCTGGTTATTTTTAGGTTTAATTTTGTAACCTAAAGAGAACCTTTCCAGAACGTTCCCTGCAGGTTATTTATAGGTTTAATTTAATAACCAAAGCTCTCTGTGAAAGTCCAGGTTTACAGTTGAATATTCAACGACAATAATGTTATTTGAAATAATCAATAGGCTACTGCTTTCATATTCTATTTACAAAGCACTTTCAGGACATCTTTATTGTATGTATATGTATTTACGTGCTGCATGATTTTGACGTGCTTAATCATTAATGCCGTGCACGTGAACTTTCGAGTCTCTCAAACACTGGAGCGGCCGGCGCGCAGAGTTGCCATGGAAACGGCGCGGGACCACTGCTACTGGTAAACAACAAAACTCCCTCTCTCGCTGTTGTTTCAACTTTTCACGGCTTTTTTCAGGTGAGATTACTCTCTAAAAGCACACGAATAATACTCACAACTGTTTTCGACATTTCTCCTACTTGTAATTGACACGATTCTGTTAAAAATGTACTTTATCGACATGGTGTAGTCTCTTCGGAAAAAGTCCCTAGAGGTAACTTAGCAAGGCTAAAGAGGTAGCTGCTAACGTTAGCAAGGCTAACTAACATCCACGTTAAATCGGTTGAACTTTTATTTATTAAAGTTTCTTTTAATCACCTCTTATGTGTAAATGAGAGGTTTTGTAAGGGTTTTACAGTGAGCTAATTTATTTAACGTAAACGTAACGTATCGGTGATGTTTCAGGACTTTCAGGAGCAATTGGCCGAAACTAACGTTAGCTCAATGGTAACGTTAAACACATTTTGATTAAATGTTCTGTGATTTCAGTAGTAACGAAATAACCCATAACAGAGAGAAAGCTCCACTACTTCAACATTTCTGAAGAAAGCTGCTGCCGGAGAAGTAACGTTAGGACACAGGTGAGCCGAAGAAGCTCAATAAATAAAAAAACATTTATGATTATTATCAGTGTTGAAAACAGTTGTGCTGCTTCATATTTTTGTGTTTTTCAGGATTATTTGATGAATAGAAAGGTTTAAATAACAGCATTTATTTGAATATATTTGTTAATGTAATGCATCCTTGCGGAGTAAAAATTTCTTCTTTTTTTGTTCTATTAATTTTTAAATCTATCATTGACCCCAAATGTTTGAACATTAGTGTAAACTACCCTTCATATGTTTGTGGTCTATTTAACAATGAATCCTGGAGGGGAAAAAATGGTTTAAACTGTTACAATGGTTTACACAAACGCATTAATTAGCATAACTGTTTTTAACATTGATAATAATCAGAAATGTTTAGGATGTTTACATTGTAAGAATGTATAGTATTCAAATATAAAAAACACTGACTTTTTAGGTCATGTTTCTCATTAAAGTCAGATGATTTGACCTACAAAAGGTGCAGCTAATAATTGGTAAGCATGTCTGAATATCTTTTATCAATAGTTATTATATGACAAGCGCTGAGCGCGTCTGTCAGCGACAGCCATAGCGTGGAAAGCACAGTTTGAATCTGGCAGTTATGTCACGTCATGACAAACTTGTTTTCAAATTTTAATGTAATCAATCTCATTTCTTACAGACTATGTCAAAAAGAGGCACCCAGGCATCAGAGGCACTGAGATCAAGGTCTGCATGACACAAAAGTTAAGAGATCTGAGGAGACGAGCAGAAAGGTAATATTCAGACGATCCAACATCCAAGTGTGATCCCTATGTGTCTGTTTACATTTGCGAAACCGACATGAGTGAAGACTGAGGACTCAGTTTATTCCTCAGTCTACATTGTGATCTATTCACAAACTGTCAATAGTTTTTTTTATAAATGAGACACATCACTCGTCATATACAGTTGTTTAAGCAAGATGTTAACGGCATTGCTGTTTGCCAACATTTTTTGCTTTCATAGCATATTTACGTAAAACGTTTAATGACATAATAATATTACAAATGAATTATAATTAATTATTAAGCCCCATCCACTTTAGGCTTCAAAAATGCTTTTCAGAAACCTACGGGGTGACGTCATGGACACTACGTCCATATATTTTTTTTTTACAGTCTATGGTTTGCACTGTCCTAATCTTTGATCTTTTTCTATCCAAAAACAGGATGCCTGCTGAAGGAGACACAAAGGACTGAGACAATACACTTTTACAAAAGCACATGCGTGTATACCTGCATTTTTTGTGGCTTTTTATGTATTTATGTATAATATGTGTGCTAAACAAAAGTGTATATAGTTTCTCATTGATAATTGTCTTGAGATATTCACATTTATAAACTTATTATTATAATCTCCTAAAGTCTTAGAATTTTTATGTTTTTAAGTTCATGATTATTTATTATTATTTTTTTATTTAATTTTGTAATACATGTTTATAAAAATACATGTTCACGGTTTTTATATGTAGATACATTTTTTTGCATACATTTAATTTATTGTAATGATTTTATATTCATACAATCAATTGTTTTAATTTTTAAAAATAATATTACTATTCAGGTCAATGTGAACAATAAACAATGTCAGTTTCTCATGATATTTAATTAGTATATGATCATATGTCCTATTTACATTTATTAAATTATTACAGGCTAATCTCTTTAGTTTTAGAATCTTTCTTCATGGTTATCTTCATGGTTTCAAACTGCAATTTTGAATTTTTTTTATAAATATGTTTAAAATATATGTGCATTTCGTGGCATTAAAATTTTGTGCATACATTACATTTATTGTAGTAATCTTCATACGATTCTTATGTTTT